CTAATAGGTCGGCATGTCTCACCAACATAACATCGACCACATGAGCAAACAATTTTGTAGCAGCCGGAGATTCATCGAAACCAAGTTTCTCTTCGTATCTACTCCAACATCGTAAGTAGCTCTTCAGTGACTTCCAACCTGTACTTGTTATCTTCAACGTGTTGACTTGTCAGTTGATATTGATGCCGATTCCTTTCTGACGCTTAGTCACAGACATAGCAAAATCAACAACGACACATTTGAGATCATTTTGCATGCCAAAAGCCGAGCATGTCTCGACCAGAATCAAAGCAGACGTCCTAGCATCCAGCCCCAGCAAGAAGGCTCCAGTAAAGTCAATCAACCGTCTGAGAGGAGCAATCCAACGCTCACTTCGGACGAGATCGTCACACACTTTTCCGACAAAATGCAATCAACCGGCACGATTAGAACTTCTTTGTCCTTAACGCATTTCTGTGTCGCCATGTTCGTCTAGCCATCCATTTGTAGGCTAGTCTGTGCCTCTACAGGCTCCCGGTTTCCGTCGACTTGTTTGTGCATCGATGCGTCAATCCGTCCTGCATCACAACTCTGCGCTCGTTTGGCCTCGATCGCTGCGGCAGCAGGTACATTCACGCCCGCCTGACTCGCGGTCGGCGCCTCTCGTGGCCAACACAGTAAAGAGCACCACTTACCCAGCCTGTCGACGCCCAGCAGCTGTACATCCTCGTCGTCCGCCAACTCGTTGTAGTGGCCCCATCTGGCCGAGACGCCCCGATGGCAGGTCAGCAACAACAACAACAACAACAACAGGAGGAGGGGCGGCGTCGAGTCTCGGGCAAGCGGCATCCCGGCCGGACCTGTGCTGAGCCCGGTCGGCGCGAGTTTCTCCCGTGGAAGGGTCAAAAGTGGAGCCCAGATGCCGGAGAGGTGAGGATTTGGCGCGCGGACAGTTGGAGCAGCCAATTTTCAGCCTCTAACATGAAGGCAAGAGAAGCTGAGAAGGCGACATGTCGGCCGTTGCCTCATCACGGCCATTCGACCGGCAGGCCTCGAGGTGCATTCCCTACGCGGTCGCTCCAGCCTCGCCGTGCGCCTCGTTCCGATTGGTCGGCTGGCGCGCACGTGCCTCTCTGCACGCCGGAGCGCTTCTCCACTTGGCCCACTCGTGATTGGCTCCTCGTT